AGTACAAATGGGGCGCCAGCTGCAGCCCCCACGCCTCTAAATTCGCCGGTCCAGTGGTGGTGCTTTCTTTTAATTTTTGCGTGGATTCAAGAACAGGCCACAGATCTCCCAGCAGCTCATGAATGAGGCTTTTATGGCAGACCCAGCCTTGCCGTGGAGCTGCTGACAGATGCGCCGGGCTCTTTCCATCCGTTAAGTGGTGGGGGAAAGAGCCCTGGCTTCCGCCCCATCCCGCCCGGCCCTGGCCGCCCCTTCCCCCTGCGTAACCGGAGCCAGAGCTATTGCTTGCCAGGCCCCGAGCCCTCGGCCCCCCGAGTGGGAAGCAAGCAGCTAACGCGGCAGCCGCCCACTGCAGGCCAAGCCGGCGTGAGGAGCAGAGGCCTGGTCCCCTCCACCACCAGCGTCACCAAGCCCGGAAAGGGACATGCGGAGCCTCATTCTCACTCCCTTGCGGGCACAGCCCGGCTCTTCCCCTCCTGGGAGCAGCGCAGCGCGGAGTGACAGCTTATCTGCGCAACCGGCACCCAGAGTCACCCAGGGAGCTTCACGGCTCAAGTGGGGAGCAGGAGCAGGACCTCGACCTCCGCCGTCCCAGCCCAGGACTCGAACTCCTGCGCCACCCTGGCATCCCGGACGTCTTGGAGGACGGCAGAGCTCGGAGGAAGGCACGGAGCAGCCCAGGGGTCCAACAACACCTTCCCCGTGCAGGTGTGGCCAAACAGAGGGATCCCTCCTCCTCTCGGAAGGGCAGAGGAGCTCCCCCGCTGAGGTTGTGAGCAGGCGGCAGCGAGAGGGGCTTCTCGCCACCGTTTTGTGCCAGATGGGAAACCGGCTCGACCCGGCCCCGGGCAGGCAGGCCCTCCTCAGCACAGCATCCCCAGGTCAGCTCCTGTGTGTCAAGTGGGTTTACTGGGTGGAGTGATGGAAAGCACCCACCCTCTGCCCATCAACATATCTGCTGAGAGGAAGAGGTGGAGGTGGAGGAGGTGAAGGAAGAGGAGGAAGAGGTGGAAGAAGAGGAGGAGGTTCGGTTTGAAAAGAATGGCAGTTAAAAGTCAGATCCTCAAAAGGTTCCATGTGGCTGATAATTCGGAGACACCAGAATGGCTTCCGTGTTTTCGCTTCAGGGCTGCAGAACCTAAATTTCTTCTGATGATGGGGAAGAAGGAAATCCTGTCATAAGCGCTTCATGTTTCTCCAGTCACCCCAATTATTCGCACGAAAGATCCTATTTTCTTGCTTGAACCGAAGGGTGCTCCCATCAAACCACGTATTCACTCACAGCCATCCCTGTGTTGTCTCACTCATGGGGAGCTCTGCAGAGCACCGTCATCGCGAGGACTGGCTTGGGAGCGCCCGGCCTGTTTGTGCCGCCCCCTCTGCTCCACAGGTCACTGCTGCCAGCCTCTGATGGAAAGGGATAAAATGCGCCAGGCTGCAGTGCTCGAAATGAGAAAGATTAGTGGGCATATAATTACGCTTTTCAGGACATGGACTGGTTATTTCATTTTCTCCACGATAAAAGTAAACAACAGAGCCAGGGTGGGGGAAGTACTAAAATAACAGCATTTAAACTTCAGTGGAATAATTAACAGCCATTCCATGTATCTGGTATACTGAGTCTGTCCTCCAGGGATCATGGCTCATGTGAAGCCTTTTGCACAAACGTGTGCATCCATTTTCAACAGGCACAGCTGTCGTGTCAAGCCCAGATTTCAGGTCTATGGCTCACCGAGGCCTCTACCCAGTCCGGGACGGGGACCTCAGAGAGCTGGTCAGAGCTGAGGAAAAAGCAGCTTTCGCCTTTCCACACTCCTGAAACCTTTGCCCAGAGAGCTCTATAGGGCTGAAAGACCTGGGACTGGGATCCTGAGGTGCAAGGAAGAGAGGAAAGGGTGGCTTGGAAGGTCTGGGTTCCACTGAAATCACTCAAAGTGAGGGTTCAGAATGCAGGTGCACGGATGCTCTTGGCCTGGACCTCCTTACACCTGATGAGTTTTTCTGGTTCCTTCATCGCTTCCCTTCCAAGTCTCAGTCTTTGAATTTCTTGGCTGCGGTCTCCCTTTGAACTGACGACCGAGTTGAGGTACGTGAAATCTTTCACAATTTCAGTGTCTTCACTGTTAACAGCAAAATTCTGCAATTGTTTTATGGTCAAGATTTTTGTTTTCTTATATTCAGCTGCAGCCCTGTTTTGATTTCTGCTTTCACTTTTATCAGGAGAAATATCAAATCGTCGCTGCTTTCTGCCAGTATCATCTGCACGTGTTCAATTATTGATGTGTCTTCCCCAGTTTTCACTTCTTCCGATTCTGATCGAGCTTTCCTTACGGACCATTCAGCAGGCAGAATGAATGATGGGGAGATGAAACGCAGCCTCAGCCGGCCCCGCTGCCTATGCAAAGCCATTCGGTCCTCACACCTTCTCCCCAATCCAGTGCTGGGCACCCCATCTCTTTCAGGACCACCCGCAGCTTCCTACGGCCCACGCAGCCAGAGGCCTTGCCGTAGTCCATGACGCGGAGGTGGAACCGCCAGCATGGCTTACTGCATGCGGAGGAGTGTCACGTCCCACTTGCGTGGGAACCGGCAGTGTGGTTCTCCTCGCCTGCTTCTCCTTCTTGGGGCTTGGAATGGATAGTCCATGGTTCCGGCTTGCTGGCCACTGCTTTGTCTGGCATGGGCTGGACTTTTTGTTCGGCATGTGGAACCGGTTGATGCAGGTGGCCCAGCCGAGAGCCGCTCCTGGCCTGGGGCACAGAAAAACCCGGGTGTGGCTGGTTTCTTAGAGAACCAACTTCGGCTGCTTCCCCCAAACACGAAACTGCGGCACTCCTGTGTTAGCGAGAGTGACACTTCCATTCTGACACCAACACACTGAGGGTGCCTTGTAAGCTCTGCTTATGGGATGACTGACAAGCCCGTGTTGGAAGATGGAGTTGGATCTCTTCAGATGCAACGCTGTGCCAGATGAGCGTAGGCAAGCAACAAAAACAGGACTTTGCAAACTCCAGGCCTTTTTCTCGTGACTTTTTGCCATTTCTTGATTTGCATTATTGTCCTGCTGATTATGATGACATGTCTATTGACATCCAGACGTTTTTCCTCTTGCAAGGACCTCAAGACAGCTCACATTATCCTCCTCCCCGCTCCCAATTTATCCCCACAATCAGCCCATGAAGTAGGTCAAGCTGAGAGTCAGTGACCAGCCCAAAGTGAGTTGCATCTAGAGTCTAGATCTCCCAAGACCCAGCCCAGCACTCTAACCACTATGTAACACTGTCTCTCAGTAGTTTATATCCAAGGTCTTTTGTGTTAAATTGCTTCTGGATTTCAGCGTTTGTGTGGCCCAGCTGATGACTCAAGCCCTCACTTGTCTCTGTTTCAACCAGGGGAAGGTGGGTTGCTGGGGTGTTTGACAACCCATGGGCTGTTTTAGGGTTGTGGATGGCTTGTTGAACACCCCCCGCCTATTCTTGCCCAGGCTGCCCATTACTAAAAGCCATTATAAATTCTATAAATAAATAAATTAAAAATAAATTAAATAAATTTAAAAAATGGTGACCTCCCACTGTGGCCGGAAGGTTCAAAGCAGAACCTATGTGGGCATTCCCCCACCACAGTGTCTCCTTAAGTGCGACCCAGGTCTGTGTGTGCAAAAGCCCCTTCACCCCAATTTCTGCTGCTGGAAGCAACACATACCTTTAACACTAATCACCATCATCTAAATTTTGCAATTGATATTGCAGAAGTTTTCCTCAATTCTCTTATAACCTTCTGCAATTTTTACTTTCATGCATCGCGCATGCTGGTTTAATGAATCGTAATGGCAGGACTTCCTTTCTGTGGCAGGAGAACAGAACAGCTGCAGGGGATGGATTATTTAAAGGGAGGCTTCATCTAGATAAAAATACGAATAGAAATGGTGGGGAGGAATCGCTCGTGCAATTCACACGGAAAATGAAAGGCTTGGCCAGGGATGTGAGATGCAACACCTGGACACTTTATGTGGGCAGCAGCTCTCACAGCAGCTCCAACAATTCAAACTGGTCTTTCTAGGGCCGCCGAGACCACGTGGTGGCCGCTGCTCTTTCTCACTCACCTTCCGCTTGGCCACGGGCTTCATGTGAGGCGTGTCCTTCAGAGCCTCCAGCAGCTTCCATGCTCTTACGCCATGCAAAGTGAAAAGCAGGAACGGCTGCTTCTAGCAACACGCCCTTCCTTGATCTCTCTGGGGAACTTGAAAAGATAAAGAAGAAGGTTTGATACAATTGCCTATGTCTATTTTATTACCAGGAAGTAAGGGGGCAGTGTAGAAAGGAACACAACAGTGGAGCAGGCTGGCCTGGGAAGGTGCCTTTCACCCACCTGGTGCTCGTTCTTTAAGAGCTGAGCTGCTCAAATAGCAACTGCAATTAAAATAGCAACTTCTCCAGCCTTCTTTGATCTTCTGTGGAACTAGAGAAAATTGTGTGACCCCCACCACCCAGAAATCCCAGGCCAAGGGGGGAGTGGCCCTGCCTTCCCACTGCCTGTCCTGGGCTCCTGCATGGGAGCACATGAGCCTCAACAGGGACGGCACCGAGATGGAAGGACTTCACACACCCGAGGTCTTTCCAGTCCCCAACTCGACAGGTGCACTGTGGCGATGGTGAAAATCGCCTCATACAAAATGTGCAAAACATTCCTTTATCCCAGCCAAGCATCATTACCTGGGAGCTTATCCCAATATTCTGTCCCGAAGGTTTTCTATTTATTTTGTGTCTTTCCAAACTCACATAAACCTGATTTGCTCTTCGTCAGACGCAAACCACAGAGGCTCTCCTATAGCACCTCGCCATGACGTCCCTCTCCACAACCTGGAGGGATCGCTTAATATGATTTCCATTGTCCAGAAGGGTGGGGGGGAGATCCGGTGCTCCTCCCAAATGCTCACAAGTAGCAAAAGCAAGACGTGCAAGCATCACGCACAGAGACAAATACACAAGCAGAAACTGATAAACCATGCAGCTTAATTTAATCTGTTCTCATCGATACAAGTCACAGAATCCAGTTTTACTTGGCCCATAATGTGAGTTAGTGCGCAGTACACACAGCTCTCGTGTCAAGGATGCCATGGAACAAATACTGTGTCAGCTGCTCAGAAGGGAGACCAAACGTGACCATGAATTGGTGTCTGCTCCAACTTATTCTATGCCTCACTTGAAAATCTTTGCCCTTGACTCTTTTAGCAGAAAGCTGGGTATAAACAACAAAATTTCTTGATCATGTTGTAAGCAGGTGAGCCAAAACACTGTTTTGCATTTTTGTAAATGCATGTTTTAAAGTTGTCAAGGATCAAGAATTCTCTTCTGAAAGCTAACCTCTTAACTCTGCCTGCGCAAAGTTTTCTGTTGAATAATGTCCCAAGTGCGGATTCTGATAGTACCCATGGGGAGAAAAATTAGCAGGCAACGACCTTGCCTTCAAAATAGACTCCATTACAGACAACTGTGAGCTGCATTTCAGTACTCCGTGAACAACCCCTGGACTGGAATCTTACTGATCCAACCACACTGCCGCCGCTTGGTGCCCTCAGTTTACTGCTAGCTCTTTCAAAAGGAAAGATGGTCTTTCTTGGTCAATAATGCGCCCACCTTTCTACGTGAGGGTTGTTCACAGCATCACAGGGGCACAATGGCCCAGCGCGAACGACAGGGCAGCCCACTGTGGGTTACGTGACCCTTCCAGCGCTGTGGGAGGGCCGATCGTGCCCATGCAGGCCCTGGCCAGCGTTGTCACAGCCCACCTGGTCAACTGAACCCAGGGAGCAGCAATGGCACGAGGGCTGAGCAACCCTAGCCTTGCCCACAGCCCTGTGTGGGTTGTTCAACGATCAGACAGCGCTGCTGCCCAGGTTCGGACGACCGAACACGCTGCAGCACTGGCCAGCCTATTCCTAGCAGTGGGAACTGCAGCTCCTCCTGGGTAAATTACTCCACACTGGGCTGCCATGTGGTGTGAAGTGGCCCTACGGAAATTAAAATGAGTTCATACCAAAGGTCTGACTATTTCCACTTCTCTTCCTAAGGGACTGATTCTAACAAAGGCTGGGCATAAAATGTCAAGCCAGAGAATTCCCATATCACAATTCCTTTATTTTTCAGTATCAAATTACATAGTAAAGTAATGAATGGCATTTTCAGAATGTCTCTCTTGAATACTGTAATACAAATAAAGATTTCTCAGTTACTAGCATCTTAAAACTGTGCGTTGAAATAAAAGATTCTGTTTTGGCTTATCCTGATGAGTCTGCCTGCAGGAATATTTCTGTACTTCGTTTGTGTGTGTGTGTGTGTGTGTGTGTGTGTGTGTGTGTGCGCGCGTGTGCGCACGCGCAAGCGTGCGTGGTCTGAGATGCAAGCTCAAGCTCACAACTGGCACTGTCCTTTTATGGAATTTAATTCTATCACAAGCACATCGTGATCCCGCCCTGGAAGGACAGAGCCCCTCCAAGCTGTAATTCAAATCAGGCTCAAAGTCCTGCAACTGCCCAGAACCCTCCTTCCAAATTTCCTAAACCCAGGAATCAGGAGCAAATTCCTACATACCGCAAGCCCAACATAGGTAAGAACTGAGCACACATAGGGGAAAAGACATGTGTTTTCTTATGCACACCCGTTTTCACACCAGTGTAATGCCATTAATTCTGCCTCCGGCTAACTGGGCTTGTTGGCTGAGGCATGTAGGACTGCCCATGCCTGGCTGGGCTAGAGGAATAAGTCAGAGGTGTTTCCGTGCAGAGCTGTTCCTAAGGAACTGCACCAAAGACGTGGTGTGCCAGGCGGACGGGAGCCCGGAGTCTCATTTAGGACATGCAGAACACGGTTGTGTGGGAAAAAGGACCAGGGCATTGACACGGAAATGTGTGGGAGGTACAGTGAGCAGAAGTACAGAAGCTTCGACGCAGGGCGAGTAGGGCGGGGCATCGCGGGGCAGGTGGCACCTCCTCTTGGCCTCGTGGGTCTCCCAGCGTCAGTGGAAGTCGGGCTTCTCTGGGAAGGTGCAGCCGGAACGCTTTATGATTACGCTGGCAGCATAGTGTCCGGCGCGGATGCACTCCGTCAGTGGCCGGTCGTAGACCAGCTGGGAGAGGAAACCTGAAAGAAGGAAGGCAGAGAGAGCAAAGAGACACATCAAGAGCACTTCCAACTCTCTGCGAACATGCCTAACCAACTCCTCTTTGCGGGGAGTCATTAAAAATGGGATTCATTGCCCCAGTAAATGGACGAGCTGAACGGCAAAGCAGTGTGGACGTCTCTTTCAAGCCAAATCAGACCTCCACCGAAATGAGGCCTCCCTTGACTTTTCTGAAGTTCTAGCAGAAGACCAGCCTGTCTCGTCGGGAAAGCAACCTTTTATTAAGCTTGGGGCACAACCCAATGCAAGTCGAGGCAGAAGAAGGCCCTGCAGTTCCCGCCAGTTGGGAGTCTGATTGCAGGCCCATTTGTCTAATGGCGTTGGTTTTTTTCATTTTTTAGCTCTGTGCCATTGGAAACGACAGTCCATGCATAAACAAAGAGAATTTTGATAATGATTATTACGATTTAGTGCTGGTTAAATTAAGCAGGCCAAGTTTTGGACACAGTATTTCAAAGCAAACAACAAGTAAGAGCATGACACACACAATAATTCGCCGAATTATTACGTCCAAAACTCCTGATTTGGATGCAGCTGCTCCGACAGCGAGCACTTGCCCTCTGCTTTAGGGTAGGAAATAATCTTCAAACCTCATAATTTCCAGTTCTGGGTTAGAGGGCAAGTGCTGGTCTGAATGTAGCAGCAAACTTGGTTTATTCTAAAAAGAAAATAAGGCCATTGAAAAGGAGCATGTGATGGGCAGGGAAGCGCAAACAGGCCTGAGGCTCCCGTGTGGAACCTCCATGCATGATTCAAGGGTTGGGCTCCATGTGGTTGAAACTCTTTAATTACCTCCTTAGCTGGATGACAAAACCACATTTTAGGACAGAATAAAAAAAGCAACAGCTGCAGTGCCCGATCACCAAATGTGCCTAAGTTTTGGCCAGTGTATTTTTAAAAAGAATCCAGGCCAGAAACAGGACAGATGCCTTCACGTAAAAGTCCCTGCCCGCCACTCGCAGATGATTTTGGCCACCAGGAGAATAAAGTGGACCCCCCCCCATATTTTAAGGACACCTTCCTATCCCTCTTTTCCAAATTGTACTTGGGAAATGTTCTCACCATCCCCACTACTTCTGGGACTGCTCTCTAAAATTGGGGTTTGCAGATCCTGGTCTAAACTCAGGAGCGTTTCCTTTCTAATGGTCACTACTCCCAAGTGAAGAACAAGGCACCTGTCTTTTCCCAGGTCCACTCCACAAATACCATCTTCTCCAAAGATGCACTTGCGGTGACCCTCGTGCCATCTGACTCCCGTTGTGGACTAGGAGTTGTGCAGTTGTGCTTTCAACAATGGGTTCCCCCTGGAATTTCAGTGAGCTCCTCAAACCACGTCACCAAAGTCCATGTTCTATGTTATTCGGTGTCAGGTCCTCTTTGACAGTGTAATGCTGAATTTACATTTATAGGCTTGGGCTGTTCTTTTTAGCTGACAGTTCATCTTAACTCCATCTCAATACTCCATTTTTGCCCTCCCCAATCTTCCTTCCTTCTGAAGCCTGAGTTTCTGCTAGGCTTAACTGGCTGACACCCAATGCTTTTTGTTTAGATATATATGTGAGCACTGCAAAGAGGTGAACACAAAGCTCCGTAAGCTGTAAAATGAGACCGTGGCCAACATGTCTCAGTTTGAGCTGAGAGAAAGAACTTGGGGTGCCCATATCAACACACAAATGCCTCTTCACACATCTTAACCCCACGTGGGACTTACCAAGTAGGAATAAGAAATACTGAGGACTAGGAGGGACCACTCTGCAGGTCTTCGCCTTGGGAGATGCGGGCTGCAGCATTCTCCCATCTATGGGGTTGACCCTGATCATAACAAGGATCCCTGCCAGAAGATGGGGGTGTTGGAGCAGGCCCAGGACCCCTGTGCTCCGGATTATCTAACATTTCCATTTTGTATATTCACCCTGAGAACCTCCAGAACCTTCAGGGCAGAATTTTGAGGAAAGAGATGCAAGGCTAGTGACACCACTTCCCCGATCAACAAAACAAGGTTCCCCCCCTTATCCTGGCTAATATGGCCTGCCTGTAGCTGCTCAGCAGTGATGAAAGTACTTTGCTGAGCTCTACTTTAATCTGTCCTTGCTTTGAGCAGTCCAGAGGTGAAACCTGGCACTGGAAGTAGATGTTCCGGTCCCAGTATAAATGGAGCCTGGCAAAAGTGTTGGAAGATCTCCATTAAAAGCTATCATTCTGGTAATTTAGTGTTAAGTGTTTTGCAGTCCTGAGAAACACAGAGGCAAGACCACGAGTGAAATGGGATGGTTTGTCTTTGTGATTGTTCTATTTTGTGGTTTTATTGATTGTTCCTTGGACTTGGGAAATTTAATCTGTTTTACTGGGTAGGCTGTCCAGAAAGCAATAGTTATTGGATGATGGATGAGCAGAATTAACTAAATAAAAATTGGGTCAATGTGGTAGTTTTTAAATAGGTTTGGCTTACTGGTGTTCCATTTTGGAAAGCGCAGATCAGAGAGATATCCACAGATATAGTTAATTCAGAGTGTCGTCAGTTGCCTTCACTAGAAAACATCCAGCCCGCAAGCAGAATAGAAGGAAGAATTCTCAGGACAGAAGTAAAATTCTTTGGGGTAAATGCCACAGAAGTCTCAGTTACAGAAGACCCTCTGCCGAAGATGGCCAGGCACCTCCTGGGGGTGGAGAGATACTCCACCCTCCCAGAATGGGTAACTTCCAAAACTGAAGCAGTCCGCCTAGCAAAGCCATAAGGTTTCCGGATAACGCATTGGAAACAGTCTGCTTTCCATTAAATCAACGTGCATTCTTACAGGACTAATCCCTGGACAGAGAAACAGCATCAGGCATTAAAATGGAACTGCCTGGAATGCGTGGAGCTTGCTGCTGAGGTGGTAGGTGGTTACGACCGGAGAGCCAGCGGTATTGATACATACATTAAAATCGGGCAGCTCTAATTCTGCGTCTAATTCTGCAATGTATCGGGCAAATCTCCAATGCCCCCTTCCTCACCCGAGTCTGGCAGGGAGCATAAATCCAGAAAGGGGGCTGGATCCCAAGACGAGCTTTATATTCTGGCCAGAGCTCAAGAGACTATACAGAAATCACGAGAGATGGGAAAGACCTTATAGAATGAAAACACCCCACAACTCTCGCTCGTTATATAGAGAAATAACGCACTTGTTTAAAGCACTGACCATGAGAAGCAAGCCAAGGCTGGCCGCACGGCACTGCCTTTCCTGGGGGAAGCTTTGGAGCCGCGATGCTGTCGGGGCACAGAAGAGCAGAATGACGCACTGGTAAGGGACAAGTCTTCCTGCTACACCAAGCGGCAAACTCCCAGACACCTCAGAGGAAGTCATGGTACATTTCCCATGAGGGCCTGCATGGTAGGTAGTGTGTCCAGAAAGACCTGCAGCTGCTCCAGAACTCTTGGCGTGGCCTCTTGGGTTGGCTCCAAGCCAGCAGCCATCTACATGGGCACAGCAGTGGCCCAACGCCCAATCCTGAACCACTGGGAGTTGCCCGTCACGGTTGCGGCTGGGGCCTCTCATGTGCCAGGAGGTGTTCCAGGTTTACGCCTTTTTGAAAGCCTCTCAAAGTCACGTTCTTTGGGCCACCCTGAGCACGCAAGGCAAGAAGAAGGGGGGGGACCCTGCTGGGTGGCAGGCGAGGAACGGCTGCGAGCACATCCTCTGAGCCCCTGGCGCTGGCTCCTGGGACTGCCTGACTGCAGCACGCGCTCCTTCCTCTAACGCGTGGCTCAGCCAAGGTACGTGGCTCTGGGGCCGACCCAGGGGCGGCGCCTGTCCCCTGGCTGGCCATGGGCTTGAAGAAGGAGGCTGCTCACCTTGTGGAACATGACAACAGCCAAGGGGAGGTACTGAGGCTTGCAGGTAAATCACCTTGATGGCGAAGAAGCATCCCGAGGGGCATATTCCGCCTCTCGTCAGCCACCGTTTTTCAGCCGGTGTAGTCCTACAGAATACTGGTTTGTATTTTGGGGGCCTCCATCATTTCCAACATTCTCTAGAAATCGGTCAGCGTGTGTTGCACATGCGCACTGCTACAAACTGGGCAAAGCAAGCCACGCAGAAACCAACGAAGGAATGCGACCCTCGCCACTGACTGTGCTGCCCCAGCGTTTGCTGTATCAGCAGGCCGAGGCATTTCAAGAAGGAGCGCACTGCCGTCACAGAGCTGGCTCAGTGGCCCTCCCACGGCGCCCACGCGTTAGACCTTCTCTGTGCTACGCACGCGAGAGGTGCAGCCCCCTCCGTCTTCTCTACCTGCAAGGTGGAGATGACGACACAGACCTATCAGGCTGCAACTGACTGTACTTGAGGGCTCTGAATTTTCAGGTGTGCTGCAGCGATGATGCTGATTGCAAGCAATCCAGCAACTCTTCAGAGAAGAGCAGCCGACTCTGAAGAGCCACAGCATTCAGTCCCGGCACAGCCATGAACTCGGCCGGCAATCCTGGGGCAACTCCTATTTCACAGACTTGTTGAGCAGGCAAAGAGTTACGCATTATGAAGGCATTGTATATGCTCTCTCTTGCCGTTAGATTTTTCCAGTGAGGAGTATATGTATTTTTAAATGCAACACAAAATTATAAACAACATTTTCCTGTTTTTTGATTAATCAGGGAAGTTCAGATGTTTCAAATTATGAAACTTAACAGTTTAAGATAAAATAAAAAACTTGGACTGTTGGCAGGACTGTTGAGCTGAAAGCTGTTTTGCCATTGCTGTCAAAAGACGTTTACTTTTAGGCTAAAATAGAAACAGTAACATATTTTTTAAATACAAAAGGCCTCGAGCCAAGGAAAAGAGGGTTTCAGGGATAAGAAAAGCTGTTGCTCTTGTCCATCGGTGATAAATAACCCTTTCCCCAAATTGCAAACTCTGCAACTGATTTCTGCAGTCTTGGCTCTGCTTTCTCAAATGCATTTCTAAATGGCAAGAGCCTTTCCTAC